CTGGCTTCACCACTTTAGTGGTGGAAGCGGAGAGCAAGCAGCAAGGGCTAAGAGGAATGCAGGGATGGGGCTGAGGGCTTGACAACCTTGGTTGAAAAAAGAAATCAGGGACTTCCCTGGCGGTCCAGTGGTTAAGGCTCCACACTCCCAATGCAGGAGGCACGGGTTTGATCCCTGGTCGGGGAACTAAGATCCTGCATGCCATGTGGCATGGCCAAAAAAGACAAATAAATAAGAAATCACCTTGAAGGTTGCATCTGAACCCATATACGGAGAGTGTCAGGCCACACAGTTATGCAAAATTCTCTAGCTGCACTGGGCAGTTCAGGCCCAGAAGCAAACAGAAATGGACAGTGGACCTGGGGTTGGAAGTGAAGGAAAAGGGGCAGTAGAGAGGGGAATAAGGGTACAAGGGACTTTGGACTCTTCTAGAGAGAAGAACTTCCCTTTCTGGGACACCAGTAAAGATGTTTAAAAATCTCAAAAAGATTTGGAGGACCCATTTGGAATTTTTAAACAAAAAAAACAAAGCCAAGGTTCATCTCTTCATTGTGTAAAAGGGATTTGATAAACAGATAACTAATGTTAACCAATTTAATTATAAAAGAATAGACTGTTTTTAAGTACATCAAGGTACCACTGGAACAGAATGCAAAATGATGCACACTAATTACTCCTCTTTACTCTTAAAGCTGATTCCCCAAAGACTTCTACTTAGCAAATACTTTAAGAGACTGCTCAGAAAAAGAATAAAGGAGCATTTAGGTCTATTCCATTATTCAGACTGGCTGCCATCCTGATTCGATAAAAGGGAGATTTTACTGGGATAGAACAGCACTTGCATGTTTTTGAAGCTCTAAGCTGGCTTCTCACTCTTTTTACACTACAGCAGGAAGGACATCAGTACCCCTATTCTTCCAAGGCCAGAAGAGGTGAAGAGGCATGTCCCAGGCCACCCGTCTCTTGCCTCCAAGTCCAAGGCTCTCACCTCCACCCATCTGGACGCATGCTACTCTCGGGTGTTCCCCCATACCTCGCTCCGCCCGTCTTGTCTCTGACCCTGAGACGGCACCGATGCGGCTACTACTTAGCAGCACAGGTTGAAGTCTGCACCCCCGTGGCCAGCCTGGTTCTTGGACAAGGCAGCCTTTCCTGTAAAATACTCCTAAGAAGCCCTCAACCACCAGGCCTGAGAGGGTCCCTGTGAGGGTGGGTCCCTGTGATCACCCTCCCAACCACGGCTGCTCTCCCCTCCGGATCCCTAGCTCACTAGGATCACAAGGCTACATGGAACTGTTTTTCCTGCAATAAAACTCCAGCAGCCAACATTTATTGAGCACCTACTTGTTGCCATGGACTCTGCTAAGAACTTTACATATGTTACCTTAACTTTGCAACAACCCAGCAAAAATAGGTACTCTTATCCCTGTTTTACAGATGAGGATAACAGATACCTGAGGCTCAGAAAGGCTATGTGACTTGCCCAAGGTCATTCAGCTAGTGGTTGAGGCAGTACTCATAAGTCTGTCAGGCTCGAGAATCCACTTTATTTTCACTGTACCATACCGCCCTGGCTCACCACTCTACAAGTGCCTAGAGACCCACACCAGAGTGGAAAAGGAAAAGTGAGGCAAGGCACAAGCCTTTTCATTTTTACTGCCTGGCTCCCAAGCGACTTTGGGGACGCTGATCCCATGGTGTTTCACTCGGCCGACGGCCTCACCAGCCTGGGGCCCTGGGAAGCTGACAGGAGTCAAAGGGCCCCCTGGCAGGATTGTCCTGGCAGCTGCCCAGCTGACTTGAGCTAACACAGCAACAGGCACAGGAAAGGCTCGAGAGAGAGTGGAAAAGCACCAGACCCTGGGCCACTGAGGGCAGAGAAGTGATCCCGGCCATGCTCAGACGGGATAATGCAGCTCTAAAGCCACTACTATCACCAGGCTGGGAAAAGACCCGGGGCGGGGGCGGGAGGGGTGGGTAAAAGCCCCAAGCCCCAAGCACATCTACTTACTACTGTGTTTCAGTGAATCGTGACTGCTGGGCCAACCCAAAAGAGGGTCACGTGCCTCCAAGGCGAATCAGCAAGAGTGGAAGAAAACCAGTCCATGCCTTGTTGGTCCCAGCAAGCCTGGCCCACCTTTGCCCCACCCACAGAAACCCTGCTGCCTGATGACACCTGAGCAGAGGCAAGAAAGCACGCTCTATCTCATAGCCCCACTGTAGCAGCAGAGCTCAGCCAGCCCTGGGAAAGAAAGAGCCAGCTGAGAATACTAATAGACTTGCTGGAGGCAAAAATTCAGTGAGGGCAAGCCCGAGGAAATAAAATTATTTAAAAGAGGCACAAAGTGAGACTAGAAAAAGGGAGCAACTTGGACTTCCAAAGATAGTGCTTCTTCCATCAGGCACTGGGAGGACATACATCAGTGGTGGCAGGGTTATTCTAAAATATCTGAAAACCCAAAAATGTCTTAGTCTGTGGGAAAACTTTTTGTGTGTTATTTCTGTAGGTTTTCTGTCCTGTAATGTTTTGATTAGCTTGATATTAAACTACATATGTGCGGGATGCCCAAAAGTGTTTCGAGGGAAACCAATCCTGGGATCTAATGTTTGCCACAGTTGTTAGATTGCTTAAAAACAAAGCATATCTCTCAGATTTCATAAGAAGGCAAGGGGCAGCTTGACAGGTGGCATATTGGCCGCCACTGGGTCAAATTAACCCTATGGGTATGTTAGCATGCTTAGAATTTTTTTAAAAATAAATTGTCAACATTTAAAAATCAGAAGTTCAATCTGGTATCTCTGGGCAAGCAGCACAAATTGGAAGAAGCTGCACAGCCACTGCCCACTTTAGGCAGGCCTGTGCTTTCTAGTACCTGGCCTGGCCGCTCATTTAAGCCACCTGACTGACCCCTGTAGGCAAGAGAGTTTGCTACTGGTGGTTTCGCCTAGTGAAGGGATCCCAGGCTTGGTCGTCCTCAGGACTGCCACAGGGGGGCAGCACTGGTCTGCCCATGAGGCCTGCGTCAGCCTGAGCCTATGACCAAGCTAAGCTTATTAGCACATCCTTTCAGAACCAGAAACCTCATCCTCACTTCAGCAGCAGACCCTGCTTCTCCACACTCCCCATTGGATATATGCCCTGAGAAGCAACAGCAGCTCATCTCAACATTCCCAGCAGGGCTCGGCGACTGAGGGGAAGCCACCAACTCAACTTGCCCCTCCTTCTCTGGCTACCACTTTCCACGTCCCCCCACTCCTCCCACTCCACAGCCGGCATCTCTACCTGTTCAGTAATTCTACCTTCACCCACCTGTTAACACCACTGGGCCTCAGATCCTGAGGTAAGCGGCAGGGCAAACAGCCTCCCCCTTTTAAGGCAGGTTCATTCTTCATCAAATACTCATTACTTGCCTTTGCTCACTCAGGTTAAAGGTCAGTTGACTTCGTGAGGCAACAGGTCTGCTCTCTGCTCTCACCCCTTCCAACCTCACCGAAAACATCCTTAGTGGCAGCATTTAGTATAAGCTCCTACTGCCCTTCAGGAAAGACATTTAGTATTATGCATTGAGGCCCTTAAAACCGTTCGTCCCATTTCATCCAAAATGCCATTTACTGTTCCTACCGTTTAGTCCAAAAATGCAGGAAAATCCTTATATAAGATACTCTGCAATATTTCTCTAGTGAACAACCAGAAACAACCCAAATGTCCAGCAATAGGGAAACTGTTAAAAACAAACTATGCTATATTCCCACTTGATGGGCAATTATACAGCTAATGAAAACAATTAGAATTATGAAGGCCATGTGATAAGATAGGAAAGTGATTATGATATGAAACACTATGTAAAAAGAAGAATATAAAATTAAATGTACAGTAAAATACCTAAAAAAACTAGTCCAAGAATTACTGAAAGATACCAAAATGTTAACATTTTATCTGTACTAGAGCCCTCAGAGTGTGGGTAACCTTTTTTAAACCCCTACCAAATTTAACATACATATACTACTTTTATAGGGAAAAGTATGTGTACATGTGTGTATGAAGTTGGAAAATTTGATAGCAATTGTTAAGCTCCCTGGTCTACTCTTAATGTAGACTTCGAAAGTATATAAGCCTCATGTTATCATGATAAAAAGGCCCTTGGGAACCTGCGCCTCCAGGACTCACCGCCTCCAGGACTCACCGCCTCCAGGATCCAGTGCAGCCACGCTAGTAGAACAAAGCTTCCAGGGCCCCAAAGTCCTTAGTTAAAGGCCAATTTTATCCTACCCGGAGATGACTGCTTTGCATAACTCCTAGGAGACCGCAGCACCACCTGGAAGATAGGATTAGACCAAAATGGTTCTCAGACGCAACTTTAATCAAGTTTTGCACTACACAGTAATGGGGTGGGGGTGAAAGACGGTGATTGTTTTCAAGCAAATTCACCTGCCCCAAGGTGAACAGCCTGGGCTCCCAAGAACAGAAAACTGCTTTCCTTCCCAGGGGAATCCCCTTCCTGAGCTGACAGGATTTCAGGGAGAATGAGCACAAAGGACAAAGCAAGCTAGTTAAGGGAGCCAGGTAGATTTCTGAACTCCTCCCAGTGCAAACTAGAACCAGGCATGTAGGTACCCCTCCTAAAGGCATCACCCCAATCCCAGCCACTCCCACCTGAGGCCAAACTGCCTCCCCACATGGACTGACGGCCAATGTTCACTTCATCACTCTCCTCCCAGTGGTGCACCTAGCAGCGCAGAAGCCTGAGCAGCTGTGGCCACCATCGAGCAGAGGCAGCCTTCAGGCCAGAACCCTCACGGGCCTTCCTCTTCACTGGCCCCTCAGCTACTAGTGTGTCTGCCTGGCCATAGCAGAGCAGCCAGTATGTGTGTGGCTGTGTGGGACGGGAGGGGCCAGAAGAAGCAATAAAGCAAATCAGATGTGGCTTCTGGTTGCTGGGTCGACATGGTGGCAGGACCAGTCTTGGCCCCCAGAAGGACCCATAGGGCGCTGTGTCCTCCATTAATTCTTCTCCGGGCGGTTTCTGTTCAGGACAGCTTTAGGGGCAAGTTCCAGCTTGTCCTTAAGGCTCACGACCTGGGTGTGGTCCTTGCCTAGCAGCTCATCCAGCTTGCGGTCCTCCCGGCGCTCCGAGATGCTCTTCTCCTCCTCCACAGGCTGGGGATCCTTCCCCCGGATGAACCATTCCAGGTGGTAGCCCAGAGCCCCAACCACGAAGGCCACGGGAAAGGTGACATAGGGAGCATAGGTACTCACCACAGTCCAAAGCACAGGCCACATGACATCTGTGCCGCAGCTCACACCCCGCTGTCTGGCCCCCACCCTTCGCCTGTGCTCCAACTTCCGGAGCACCGAAGCCGCCAGTCCCAGCGGCCCTCAGGGCCTCGCCCCAGACCCCGCCCACTGGCGCCCGCGATCTTGGATATTGTAAATAATGCTGCTGTGAACATGGAGATACAGATATCTTTTCCAGTTAGTGTTTTTGTTTCTTTTGGATATACTCCCAGAGGTGGAATTGCGGGATCATATGATACTACTCTTTTTAATTTACATTTTTCCCTCTCAAAATGAATTAGTGTTTTGGAAATATCAGATAACAAGGTGAGGGATTATCACTTTTTTATTCTTCAGTTCATTCAACAAGTATTTCCTGATCACAAACTAAGAGCCGAGCATTGTGCTAGATGGTCTGGAACGTCAAAAAAAAAAAAAAAAAAGTGAAACAGATACCTTCATGGAAGTTAAGGTTTAGTTGGAGAGAAATTCAATAAGGAAATAAATACAAAATAAATACAGAATCATAAATTGCAATAAGTGTTTTGAAAGAATATACAATGGAAGAGGATATCAGGAAAAAAATGGTTATATTTGGGGGCTAAGAAAAATGCCAATTTGAGAAAGTGACAACAGGTTGAGATCAGAAAGATGAGAAGGAGTTAATCTGGGGAAGAGTGAAACATATGGAACCTTCCAGAAAGAAAAAAAAGCAATTTGATAATAAGAGCAATTCAGAGGTATTATCCAAATATTTTGCATTACAGGGCATTAGAATTGTTTTAAATAACGGAAATCAGTAGTTTTTTCAAGAATCTGTCAACATTTTATTATTATTAAACCATCATATTATTTAAGTATTCTTTATAAAATCAAGAATCAGGCCTTTTTTATTGTAATGAATTGATTGCATCATTTGCTCAATTTTGAGTTAGCATTTAATATTGAAATCTTTTTTTAATATTTATTTTTATTTATTTATTATTTTAGTCTGTGTTGGGTCTTCGTTGCTGCACGTGGGCTTTCTCTAGTTGCTGCGAGCAGGGGCTACTCTTCATTGCAGTGCATGGGCTTCTCTTTGCAGTGGCTTCTCTTGTTGCGGAGCATGGGCTCTAGAGCAGGCAGGCTTCAGTAGATGCAGCACGTGGGCGCAGTAGTTGTGGCTCATGGGCTCTAGAGCGCAGGCTCAGTAGTTGTGGCGCATGGGCTTAGTTGCTCCGCAGCATGTGGGTCTTCCCAGACCAGGCCTCAATCCCATGTCTCCTGCATTGGCAGGTGGATTCTTAACCACTGCGCCACCATGGAAGCCCTTGAAATCTTCTCTTCTAATTATTTCCTTGTCATTAGATTAGTACAATGTCTTCCTAGCTACTCATTCAAAAAATTTTACAGACTTTTATAGTGTTAAGTGACCACTTATTTAAACTGATTTACAGTAGAGAGTCCATCTGTTAGAAATTTTAAAATTCTATCAGATTATCTAGAAAAAAAGAAAATAGGCATTCCAGGCTGGAACCAAGTTGTTCTTTGTAGAGAATACTTTGGTTTTTTTCAAAGAGTTTTTCCTTAGCTAAAATTTTCTTAAAATTATTTCTTTCTAGTATCAGGAAACTAAAGCCAAGTCTACTTTTGATGTAGGGTGGAGGAGGTGGCAGTTGGCCTTGCACAGCACTTTGTTAACCAGTTTTCTTCGAGCGGCATTTTCTTTTGTTCTGAGGTGGCAGATTTGTAGCAGAGTGACATCCAGAAATCATTGTAATTGCAGCAGTATTTCATGCAATTGCTGAAGAGTACTCTCTGTTCAAGGATTTCAAAACACTTTTCTAATGGTAAATTACCTTCACAGTATTCTTTTTTGTAAACTGCAAAAAAAAACTGAAGCACAGAGAGCCATAGTTTATCAAGGTCTAGTGCTGATTTTCTTAGGCAACATATTTGTTAGACATCTTCTGAATGCTGAACCCTTTGCTGGATGCAGTGAAGAGTTTCAAGGGAAATAAAAGATAAGTTTCCTGAAGTCAGTTGTTTGGCTTAAAGAGAGAGATACAAGAACCAAAGAAAATTATGCATATGTAGAAAACATTTATAGAGCCAATTATAGATGTTCCCATTAAGTGCTTAAGTGTTTAGACTGGTGAAAAGGCTGGATAAAGAGGTTTCATTGTATAATTAGGATCATTGGCCTTGAGAAAGTTTTTAATGAGTGAGGCAGATGATTTGACACTGCAAAATGGGGATGACATTCTAGGCAAATTAAGTGGCATACTCAGTGATATAGAGGCCAAAGAGAGGACAGTTTATATGGGGGTTGGCTTGCAGTGCTGCCAAATACAGTAAGAGCTGGATGGTCCCAAATCAAGTAGAATAAGAGACCCTTTGGTTAAGGGAAGAGTTTCTGGCAACAGGAATACCTGGAGTAATTTTAATTGAAAAGCTCAAAATGACATCAAGGTAAAGTCCTTACTACATTATGTGTCAAAAATTGGACAACAGAAGGGGAAGGAGAAATACAGAGGAAGGGCCATCAGCAAGAATTCTCTGGAGACACTTTATGCATTGGGTAGCAATAGGAATGGAGAATCAAATCTTTAGAGAAAAATCTTAGAATCATAGTCATTAAAGAAATCTTGGAGATCATTCAATTCACTCTTTATCAAATTCTAACTGGAAATGAAATACAGGTTTAGGTACTGTTGTATTAATTCTGAGATACTTCTAAGAAACAGATGGAAGCAGAAACATATAAAGAAGATGTGGCACATACATACAATGGAATATTACTCAGCCATAAAAAGATACGAAACTGAGCTATTTGTAATGAGCTGGATGGACCTAGAGTCTGTCATACAGAGTGAAGTAAGTCAGAAAGAGAAAGACAAATACCGTATGCTAACACATATATATGGAATTTAAGAAAAAAAAATGTCATGAAGAACCTAGGGGTAAGACAGGAATAAAGACACAGACCTACTAGAGAATGGACTTGAGGACATGGGGAGGGGGAAGGGTAAGCTGTGACAAAGTGAGAGAGTGGCGTGGACACATATACACTACCAAACGTAAAACAGATAGCTAGTGGGAAGCAGCTGCATAGCACAGGGAGATCAGCTTGGTGCTTTGTAACCACCTAGAGGGGTGGGATAGGGAGGGTGGGAGGGAGGGAGACGCAAGAGAGATGGGAACATATGTATATGTATAACTGATTCACTTTGTTATAAAGCAGGAACTAACACACCATTGTAAACCAATTATACTCCAATAAAGATGTAAAAAAATTTTTTTTAAATGTTACTGTGTAGGTTCAACTGATATTTTAATAGAACTAGAAATTTTACTATGACATAATTCCCTCTGTCTCTGTTCAGCTCACCAAGTCCCTCTCTCTTGTCTCATTATATACTCATGGATCACCTGACTGACATTAAAAGCATTGGTCTGAAGCAAAAATCCTTAGAATTCAAACAAAAAAACAAGAATCCCCATGACAAACTATTTTTATACTTGTCATTACTACAGTTTGATCTTATGTACAAATTATTCACACGTTTACTAACTCAAACAATTCTCATACATACCCTATCATAGTACATCATGGCGTATTAGCAATAGCCTTGGGTAGTAGATTGAGTAAAACAGAACTACAGGCTATGGATTTTCTTAAAAAACTTCCTTGGCAACAAAATTATTTTATGTTTAGCAACTCTAGAAATAAATATTATTATCAGCAGTATTGGTGTATGCTATTATCAATTAACGATAATAATTCTTATACTTTTTTCATAAAATATATGCAGTTGAGAACTAGTGCTTTATATAAAGTTGTCTAAGTTTTACTTTCCTGTATCAAACTTTTGATGGGGGCTGAATAGCAGAGAATTTGAGATTGTACTTCTTGATGGGAGCTTCTATTGAAGAATTTTATGCCAGGTGTAGGGTTGACATTCTATTATGAAAATTGAGATCCTCAGATAATGTTACTACCTGCATGAAAAACTCCCTTACTTCTGCATAGGAGCTGCATAGGAGCGGGCCATATAAACTCAAAGGTAGAGAAGTTACCAAGCTTAATGTATCCACATGTATCAGATGGTGAGATGAGTTGACCAAGGTCATTTTATTAATATTGGTAAGATCATACATCTGTCAAAGGAGTTCTGATGTCAGGATCAGACTGTCTTCTTTACCATCACAGCAACATAGAGACAGCTATGTTACGAGAGATCATTTCTACTATCACATTCTTTGTTAGAGTATTTACCCAACAGTCAGAATGAAAAGTACACAAAGTCTTCAGCATTGGAAAAGCTATGACAAAGTTTCCTAATTAAAATATCTGTGCGAACAATTTATTAACTAAAATATGCATTTTATTCTGTTTGCACACATATTCTTCTCACCTCGAATCAAGGAGATATTTAAAGATAAAATGGTAAACTCTTGGGATTATTATCAGAATTAAAATATACATAATTTTGAAGAGGACATTTTCATGAAAAATATCTCTAGGTATTAACATAATTCATGTAGATGCATTTATTATGCTTCATGTATGTATATAAACATTGTAAGAGCATTAGTATAAACCAACAATTGGGCATGATGGTGTATAAGGCACAGCTTGAAGAAAAGTAGGGGCCTCTTTTTTTATCCTTTGTGCCTTCTAGAACAGTATTACCCAATAAAAATATAATTTAATATGTAATTTTAAATTTTCTAGTAGCTACAATTAAAAAGTAAAAATTAACAAGTGAAATTAATTTCAAAAAACACTTTACCCCAACATAACCAAAATATTATAATTTCAATATAACACTGCTATAATTTCACTATATTAATATATATTAATAATATAATCCAATATGATGTTGATTACATTAAAATTATTCAGCAGATGGTTTACATTCCTATTTCATACTAAGTCTTTGAAATTCAGTGTGTATTTGGACTTATGATACATCTCAATTTTGTCATGTTTCAAATGCTAAGAATTAAAAGATAAACTGAGGCATATTAAAAATTTTATTTGAGCAAAAATCAATCCAAATTGGG